AGAGAGAGAGAGGAGAGAGAGAGAGATCGGATGCGAGAGAGAGAGAGAGGAGAGAGAGAGAGACTGAGAGGAGAGAGAGAGGAGAGGAGAGAGAGAGAGAGAGAGAGAGAGAGAGATATATATATATATATATATATATATATATATATATATATATATATATACATATATACCTCTAGGGAAAAGGATATGAACATGGGTGGGGCTGGCGGGAGGGCTGAAACACAACGCGGCAGTTTGCCCCACCTTGCGACCACAAAATAAAACCCACTTAATCTGGGAACGTTTCTAAACTCCAAGGGAACTGAAGAGAATCATCCTGTTTTTTTGGCTCCATACGCTTTCCTCTCTGCCTAAATAACTAAATTTGTTTGCATTTGATTAACCGAAAACCACGGGGACTGCAAAGCACAGGTACGTCGGGAAATACTAAGAAAAGATGTGGAAGCAATGCAGTGAACGTAACAAAGCACAGTAGTTGCTGAAGTGGGGACCACCCGTTAGACGTTACAGTTGTGTTGTCAGTGTCACTGTTCTCGAAATTTGCATGCAAGTAGTTTAAGCCCGTCCGCACACAGCGCCCACAGTAGTGGCTTCGTAGCGCTATCGCCAGTGACATGACAAGCAGCCGCGCGCTGCTCCGTGTGGTGCGCAGGATCACTTCCGCTACCTTGAGTTGAGTAGCCCAACGTTCTTGTTACATTACCGTTGTCCTGTGGTGCGGATGATACACTAAGCTTTCGTACCAGCGTAGTGTCAATGGTGATGTGCCTGTTAAATATGTTCCAACATGTATTATTGGATAGTTGCAGTTCTTGTGAGATTTTGCAAACGATTAAGCGGTTGCCGTTTCCATTGCGCCGATCTAGTCGACGCTGGAATGTCCTAACATGATCCAATGACAGATCCGTCTCTCATTCTATAAACTGGCTTTGACCTCTGTGCGATGGCCGTTTGAAGTACGTCGGATACATTTCAGGAATACAGTGTACAGCTGATATTCAGAGAGAAGTGGTTTGATGAGAGGCTCAAGTTTGATGACATGAAAGGTAAGGACCGCCAGATTGCACCGCACCTTCTTGCACTGATTGCCCCTTGGAATCTGCTGATACGACGAGTCGCGCTCCGATCTACCTGACCCCCGCGCACTGAACACACAAGTCCGGCAGCTTAAATTAGCTTTGACAACTTCTCGCTGCCCTCATGTTTCAAAGCGAACCATTCCAAACAAACCTGTAGGGTGCAGCGGTGCAGAGCGCGGGCTAGACACGCACGCGCACTTGAAGCCCCCTCCCCCCTGCACTCTCCTCGGCCGAATCACTCGAAAATTCCCGTATCACTCCCGTCCGGGTGCGTAGATACGGGCTGTGCAGTGCTGCTGACTGGCTGGAGGGGACACGTGTGGCCGACGCCACCGACACCTGGGATCTAACCGCGCGCACGGCATGGCGCACAGGCCGCGTGGAGTACCTGACACTGATGGACCCGCAGAAGATCTGGATGCCGGACCTGTTCTTTAAGAACGAGAAGATCGGCCATTTGCATGCCATCACTATGCCTAATATGTACATCCGGATCTTCGCCGATGGCGGCGTACTCTACAGTGTCAGGTGAGACAGTACTCCAAGCCGCCAGGTGAGTTGTGCTCGCCGTCAGGCGTGTCATGTGCTCTACAGTTTCAAATGAGTCACGTATTCAGCTGGGAATTCGTTGTCTTATCTGTTCGACTGGTGTGCTGAATCGTGTTCGGTTGCGCCTTTTCTTGGTACAGCACTCCACGCGGGGCTCGTCTGATTTGTTGCTACATTTGACATAGGATTGTTCTGCTTGGAATCCTTTTCATGCTTTTATGGAAACTCCCCTTGCCGTTTCATCGCAACAGGGTACTAAAGCATCTCACTGACGGTGATACGCTGGTTTAGTGCTTGAATGGAAACGCTCCGCTTACGTGAGGAAAGGCGTAAAATTACGGCGCATTATGTCATATTATGGCTGATTTACTCCTCGTACTTTCAATTACAACCCGTTAAGACGTTATTGAAGACATCAGCCTCCTTATGACACAGAATGCCATTCTCTTAAGACTTATTAAGCTGATATTCACAGAAACGCCCCCTGTGCCATCACCCTCATCCTATGGCTGGATGACCGTAATGCGTCCGTGAACGCTCTCGAATGACCCAACCAACCCATCACGGTCAATGACACCAGAAATGTGAAGTCCTTATTCGAAGGTAGAAAATCGGACGCGGCTGGCATCGCAGAATGCGGTGCGAAGTGCAGTGCGCATACTCAGGCGATGCAAGACACCATGAAGGTGCGGATGTGGGGCTGTTCCACAGAAACTGCCGTTGCTATGGCACGTGTGGACGTCAGACCTATGTATGGGAGCGATCTGCCGTTGCGTTTGTTAATATTGGGCCGGCCTATGGAAATCGTCCATTGCCATGGAAACTGGTCTATGGAAGTGGCCCTGTGCAGCAATGTGTGGAGTTTGGAACAACCTATGGGAACCAGGGGCGTAATTTCCTATTCAGTTCGGGGGAGGGACTCAGCACCCCCTCCCCCAACTTTGAAAAGGAAGTGGGCCAAATCTGGGAGAAGCCATTTAATCGGTGTATGTTGGAAGCAAAGGGTTCGTCATTTTTTACTGTTCAGCCCCCAACTCATTTTACGTGTCAAACTACGCCGCTGATGGGGGCGGTCGTTACTCTGCGCGTGTGTGTGCGTCGAGTCGGAGACAACATACTGAGGACGGCCGTTGCCCCGCGCGTGGGTGAAAATGGAACCAATCTGCGGTACCGACCGTCGCCACAGCAGCCGCGGCCATACCGGCTCCGTCGATCGGCGCTCCCGCTGATACATCGCCACCATTTATCGGATGGCGCTATTAGCGGCGATGAAACATTTCTCATATTTTCATAACGCGTGGCCGAAATCCGTGTCATTTGTTGCTGGCCGCCTTCGACGAGGCCGTAATATATTCACTCCATCGCGGCCGTGGAAACAGAGACCGGGCGCAGGCGTTCACCGGTCGCCTCCGAAAGCCGGCCGTAATAGCGGGCTTACCGCCGCCGCTGCTGGCCTCCGCACGCGGCACGGCGTATGTGTTTAGATATTGGGCCGGCCGCGCGGAGGGGAATGATGAGCAGCGCCAGGAGGACCGGAAATGGGCATGCTTCGAGCGAGGCCCCGGCTCCAGCGGCGGCCGGACGCAGAGGAGCGTGAACCGGCGGGCTGGTCTCGTGGCTGGGCAGGCTCCGAAGGTGGGAGGATGCGTGGAAATGGGCCCACGAGTCGGCCTGAAAAGGGTTAGACGATTGAGCGGACCGGTAGCTCTGAATCAATGACGGATAGCGGCGTGCCGCCCTTGCGTCGCCGGGCCTGCCAGCCCCCGCCGAGACCTCGGACGTTCCGCAGCAAGCTCTGACAGCCTTCGCCGAGACCTCGGACACCTCGCAACAAGCTCCACTTGGCCCCGGTGCGTCCCGGCCCACCCAAGGAGGCCGTGCCGCCACCCTCGCAGCCAGCAGCCCACGCCGGCGGTGCCATTCGGCACCGGCACCCCCTCCGGCGTCGTCCGGCGTCCGGGCGGCAGCGGCGGCGGCGCCCGATTGGAGCTCTGCAATCACAGCATCATTAGCCGCGCGCAGGTCAGTCGGCACAATAACAGCGCGCCGCGCGGCCGGCTGGCAACAATCGATGTCGATCGCGCGCGCCGCCGCGGCCGCTGCTCTGGCGCAGGGTTCGGAGACAGCTCCGGCCGGACGCGGCGGACTGCGGACCGGCCCGCCGGAATGCGGACCGGCTCGCCAGATTGCGGACCGGTGATGGCGGCAGCTCTGCGACCGGCGCAACTGGGAGGAGGAGGCTCTGTGACCGCCAGATCATGAATTAGTGGTCTGTGACTGCAGACCTGGGACTGGAGCGGCTCTGTGGCTCGCAGACGTGGGATGTCGCTGTTCTGTGGCATGCAGATGGGGACTAGGGTAGAAGTGAGACTTTGGTCCCAGCGTCGCATTCTTAAGCTACTCTGCTTTGTAGAGTAGCTTATAGTAGAGAAGCTTAGCTTTTTCTACCAGTCTCCCCCCCCCCCCCCCCCCACTCACACATACGACACCGCCGCCATTTTTCTAACCGTCCCCAACTGACGTCACTTCTCATAAAACGGCAAATGGAAGTTAAGGGCGTGCAAGGTGTCCAATGCATTGCACAAACCCAGAATATTTGGAAGGAGCTTTAAACTAAAGGGCTATTTAGCTTTTTGCATACTGTCCAGCCCCCTTCTTCGCAATTCTTTTAACTATTCAGTCGAGAATCTCCGGACGCTGGCCTCAAGAACAAAAGAACAACGGCGATCAAACGATCCTGCGTTGAGCTACGTTTCGTGATATGTTTCTTACGTGGCATCTCTCGTCTGGGGCGTGGACAGTTGCCGGGCACCTTACACACATCGATATAAAGATCCACCTACGGAACAGTTCACCACGTAGGCAGTTGTCCAGCACCTTACATACATCGATATAAATGTCCACCTGCTTATCTAGCCTTAGTTTTCAGTGATCGTTTTCACGTCATCCCCTCTTCAAATATCTCTCCTGCTTCACCCCGCTCCGTAAAGGAATTAGCCAGGTGTATTACTAACTTTCCACTCTAAAACTCGTGGTATAGTTGTTCACCTGTTAGCATGTCCGATGCATTTTGTTTGATTCCAAACATTCAAGCTCATTACATTTCATTGCTAGCTAAATGATGATTAAGGCCAGCAATGAAGTGGTTTTGTTTAGACAGGGGTGCAAGCTATCACGCCTACGCACAGTTTTCCGAATGTAATACTGCCTGGGACTGGTATGGATCTGAGGCCTGCAGCATTGGAACTGGTATGGTCTGAGGCCTGCAGCATTGGAACTGGTATGGTCTGAGGCCTGCAGACTCGGGACTGGGATGTATCTAAAAACTGCAGCCTTCGGACTGGGATGGATCCACTGCCGACCGACTATTTGCTGGTGTCGGCATGTGACGGTGACCTGCCCTCTGCGGATCACGTGAAGGGCGCCCGCCACTGGCCTGGTCTGGAGCGACGTCAGAGCGGCGACGGGACGCTGCGGTGCGCCTGCCGCTATGATTCGAGGTCAGAGGCTGGGCTAGATCGACCTTAAACTGGGTCAGAACCGGGGGCGATCGATGAGGATGCGAATTTGTGTCGAGTTATGAACAGGCGATGTGAGTTCCGATCTATGTTATGGGGTCTCAGCGACGCCTTCGTCGATATTTTGACATCGGGACGGCTTCGGTCGTCGCATCAGGAAACATGCTGGATGTATGCTGTCGGATTGAGCGGTTCCGACCAAGAAATTTGCTTGCTACCAACCAATTTCTATGACTTAGGGGCTCTGCGCTCTTCGTTTCACTGAAAACACTTCCTGACCATGACTTTTGATCCAGCATGCATTTTGGCCTCAGATAGCCGGCCAAATCCGCCCGTACTTTGGAAGCGGTGTCTCCTCCGTCTTTTGTTGGTGCCCTGTTCTGACCCACCATGTCTCTGGTTCATATTCATCCCCATAGACATTCAGTGAAACACTCTACAGACCCGCAGTCCAGCATCTTGATTTCTGCCCTTACCGTAAGCGATCTGCGCCCTCCCCATCCCAGGCGTTATCGACAACCACGCTAATGACATCAGCGGTTGCACACGTCGATAAACAATCTAACGATTATCAGTATTGACTTGGCACCCGGGGCCTGTGTGCCCCCCGGGCATCTCGCGACCGCCGCGGTCTCCCGCCTCCGGCCACGTAGGGGGGCGGCTGTCACCGCTCGGGGACGCGATGGATCGTCGCCGGCTTCGGGCCGGGCCGGCTGAATGGGCCGGGCCGACGTGACGTGGCCAGCCCGGAGCCAGGCCGTGGCCAGCCCGGAGCCAGGCCGTGGCCGTGGCCAGCCCGGAGCCAGGCCGTGGCCGTGGCCAGCCCGGAGCCAGGCCGTGGCCGTGGCCAGCCCGGAGCCAGGCCGTGGCCAGCCCGGAGCCAGGCCGTGGCCAGCCCGGCCCGCCGCGTCGGAGCGGGTGACATCGAGAGCGGCCAACAGCGCTGCGACGTCCACCCACCGCCGTGAGGAGGACCCTCAGAAGGAGAGGGTGTGTGGGAGGGGGAAGAGGTGGAGAAGGGGGGGGGGGGGCGAACAGCGCTGCGACGTCTACCCACCGCCGTGAGGAGGACCCTCAGAAGGACATGGTGTGTGGGAGGGGGAAAGGTGGAGAAGGGAAGGGGGACGTCTGGCGGGCTATTGGCCGGATGTCACCCGGTTCAAAGTTCCAGTTCAGCTTGCTTGCAGCTGTGTACATCGAGGGAGGGCTGGCGCCAGGCGGCAAACCGTCTGTTGGCACGCTGACGATGGCGAGGAGCGTGTTGAAGGTAGTCTAGGCGCTGGGCCGACCTGTATTAGGCATTGCACTGAGGTTATGCAGCGAGGTTAACCTGTGCTGACGCAAGACTCCAAACCAATCGAGTTATACCTTGTCACTGGATTCGTGCACTTTTGCTGTATGTCGTTGTCAGGTTTCGGTCCTAGGAAATATTTGACTCACACTGGACACCGGGCTAGCGCC